GATTCCCGAAATGATTAAAAAGTATCGAACAAATTTATTCTAAAATGGTAAAAGGTAGTGAATCTCTAGCAACAAAGCAATACTGAAAAGTTTTCAGAATCAGAATTCCGCACCATAGTCAGAATTTAGAATCATTTAGAACTCAAAATCAAGTTCAGATTTATTCAAGCTTCGCGATTAAAAATTTATAATCTAAACTTTAGAATTCAGAAACTTCCAGAATTCGAAATTATTTAAAATTTCTAATCATCAATACTTAAAAGTTTTATCAAAAGACGCAAATTTACTTCAATTTTTCATACCCGACGTTCGAGAATGATTTGTTTTTTTTGCCCCGGTCGCAGGAAACCCACCGGTGGATTTACCTGAGATAATAAATATTGTTAGCATTATATTTTACTCTTCGCGTTTTTTAAAGTTCGATTATGTTTGGATGAGAATAATTTTTCTCCAAAAAATAAAACAAAATAAAAAAGAAAGGGATGATAGACAAAAGAATTGCTGATATATTTTTCATACATATATTTTTATTGGTATTGACTGATTCGAAATTGTTTCATCTTTTTCAACTGATTAAAATTATTTTTCAATTGATTTAAATTACTCGATATAATTCGAAATATTTTTTCTTCAGCCTCACTCTGAAGCAAAGACGAGAGGTACCGACACATTCCAATGTATGAGTGGTAAATCCACCATTGCATGGCACCTGAAATTTCATATTCCATCAAATATTATTATATTCTATTATCAATAATCAATTCAAAAACTGAATGAAACTTGTTTAACAAATGAAAGAAAAACAGAGAAAGAGAGAGAAGGATTGATCAAAAATATTGTGTGAAAAAAATTATAGAAAGGTAATAAATTTTCATGGTAGTATTTCGTTGACATTTTCAAATTATGCTAATTATCGGGTATATTTGTAAAGTAACTTCAATTACTCACTAACACTTTTAATTGAAAAAAGAAAAAAACAAACATCAGTGCAAGAAATTGGTGTTAGCATTTGAATAATATATGATGTGATGTGATGTGATATGATATGATATGACAGGAAATTTTAAGAGAGTTGATAGGAGGAATGAACCTGTATAAGTGCTGGAGAAACGATAATGTATGACATATCTAATGGAATGAGAAGCAACCGTACGTTATTTCAACGTGTATGAAATTAAAGCAAAAATGATAAATTTTTCAGTTTAAGAAAAAAAATTTTCATTAATTGCAGATCAATCCTCTTTGATTTTTGTTCATTGTTTTTTTTACTTTCTTTAAGATATCAAATAATTTCAATTAAATTGATGGCATATTTTTTCCGAATGAAACTAATCAATGAATGGGTTGGAAAGATTTCATAGCCAAAATATCAACCAACCCATCACTCATCCACTCACACTCTCTCATGACATCGGTACCCCATGTGGTCCGTGGTGCACACATCCTCTGCAGAGACAGGTAGACGGAGAGAGATTTTCATGTCGGTGTCAATGGTAGTGCATTGCGACGCGGACTACCGGATGGGCGGGGACTCGTCCGTACATACTGATGTACCAATCGATTGGTACCCCAATGATAGACGAAAGGAAGGGACGAAGGCCGTGTGATGGTAGCTGAGGTTGGTAGAGAACCGGTAGGGAGAGATAGATTGGTGGTAATGGTGGGCCGAGCAGACAGGCACCTCATATTACCACAGACAGGAGGAACCTACAACATCTCGTGCTGTTCCATCCTTTCCATACCACCACCGATACCACTGCTACTATCACTCACTACTAGTGCTGTTACTGTCGTTTACTATGATTATTAGTTCAAATATTCAATTCAGATTTCAATATAAGTCAACTTTCATTCATAATATATTAGAAAATCGTTTTACTTTTTAAATACGTAATTCAATTTATTATTGGATTTAGAGAGGGAGATGAGATGATATCGAAATTCAAATTACTGATGTAAGATTTAGTTGATGTGAAGAATTTGTTAATTCCTTATGAACATTTGGATATTTGAGATATTTTGGATTCCATGATATGATATTCGTAATATGTATTTGTACTTTTTTCTACTCTCTTATTTACTTATTCAAGAAAATCTTTTTAAATTTTCATAGGCATTCCGACAATTTTTTGATGAGAATTCCTTGATGAAATTCATAGTTTGTTGAGTATAAGTATGAAATAAATGAAAGGGAGGAAGTTTGCAGATTAATATGCAAACGATATCCGTCAAATAATATTATCATTTCAATTGATTTATAATCACTGAACAACGCCATTTGAAAGAAAAGGGGAAATTCCCGTAATAAGAAAAATATATATTGTAGGGTGAATTTTATGACCGAAGAAGAGAAATTATTTCTGGCAGATAAGAGCTTAAATATGTCACTTATGGATGGAGAAAGTGACGTCTCAGGTTAATTCCATATTTGTTAAATTTTTTGAAAATTTCCCAAAATTTCAAATATTCGTTCTGACATTTTATTAACTTGTTAATATATAAATAATTCATTCATAATCTATTGATCTCATAATTTGATTGTAGTAATTATCGTGGTTTTCATTTGCTATAAAAATCTAGTGATTATGCTGACGTTTTTCTTTTATCTTTCCATTGCTTTTAGAAATGAGAAGGAATAACAGAGTGGTGGGGAAATGTGTTTTATATTTGCATATTTCTTTTCATAATGACGGTTGAAATTTAAGATGTTTTGTTGAAATCAAAAGCGTCATCCCAAAAAGTAGCAGCGGTTCGGCAGCGTCGCATCAACCGTACGTTTTATTTCTGTTATCCTACTTTAATCTATACTTCTATCGAATAAATCTACGAAAGTTGATTGCTCTATATGCTATACATGAATTTGTTCTACTTATGCTTTACAGTATATGACATCAGTTTGAATGAACTATAAAAAGAGAAAGAGTGAAACATCCTGAATTATAATACAGTATATTTTCTAATATGAAGTTCACATGACATTTCATCTCCTATTTGCTGTCGGAAGGATCGTAAATGTTTCGAAATAGTGTGGTGAACATTATTATAACGGCTAAGGACTATGCCTCATTAGCTGGGACGGGAGTCACATCAAAGTATGTGGTCTGTACAATAAAACCTTATTCTAACAGTCCTTGCATAATTCTGCTTAATTCGCTGGCAACTTTGTGTTAAGATTTTATTAAAATTTTGCGAATATTTCAGACGTTAAAATTGCGCATTTTTCAGCTGCAATAAGTAAAGTGTTTGGTGAAGTGTACAATTCACGTGGGAAATTGAACGATATGTATCGTCGGAAAGCTGTTAATTCATTACATATTACGGAATCTATACCGGAACACATCACACAACTTGATTTCATATCGCTAATTCCCAGTGAACTTCGAACTGATCAGCGGATCGTTATCGATTTAGTCAAACGTTTATCGGAAGCGGCCCGACATCGACAGCGAATTGCTCGGGCTAATTTCATATATCGTAATGAAGCACAACGTTTATCAGAAATTTTTCGGTTAGATATAAATAATAGCATTCCAGCTTTTGCAAAATAAAAAGATGAGAGTATTCAATTTTCTCTTAATTTTGATTCATTTTTATCATTTTCGTTGATGTCATTTTTTCCACTTTTTATCCACTTTTTTTTAACATTCTAACTTTCGTTATATTCAAGATTTAGGCAAGATTTTCTATCACAGAAATAAATACACATTGAATTTGGATTCAGTAACAATTTAGTAAAGAAATTAGTATTTTAAAAAACATACTTAACTGAATGAATAGTGGTAGTCCATTTAGGTACGAGTTTATAATTGGGATTATTTCAGAGAAATGTGTTTTGCAATTCTTCTGATTGTTTATATTCCAGTGAATGTGCTCATCGTGAAGATCAATGCATTCGACTTGCAAAGTTAATCGGTGATGTACGTAGTGAGCGTCAGTGGAAGGGTAGTATGCCAAGTGTGGAATGGTTTTTGCGACGCAAAAAGGGTGTTGTTTCGTCAAAGGCTGAAAAAATGGGTTAATTTGTTTAATTCACTTTCTTCTTTTTCTCATCTTTTTTGTAAAAAATTCTCATATGTGTTACATAATTTCCACCAGCTGTATAAGAATATTCTCACTGAATTAAATATCTCTTTCTAGTTTATTTGCATTTCTGAAAGAATGACTGAATGTAACATGCGAAAATAGATTGATTTATGTTTTGTGGGTAGGTCCAGTAGTTAGTCATAGATTTGCAGGACTACCTGAAATTTATCTCCTAAATAATGATGAATCGTAGTCTTATTAATCCTATGAAAAATTTAGTTGGTCTTTTAGTTTGGCTAATCCTTCTATTTATAACCTACTGCATTTGTTCATATATAAATTTACATTTATTTTTTTTTTTTGAGGAAATGAGATAATTTCTAATTCTGCCCTTTTTTTATTCAAAATATCTCAAAATAGAATTGACACTATGAACAGGATATTTCTATATATGACTTCCTTTTGTACCCATTCATCTTGATAGTTAAAACATATTGTTGGTGGAGCAGTTTTATAAGTAAATATGCTTGATAAGCTCTGAATAGCTAAGAAGGAAACAATTCATGTATCTTTTCTTATCCTTTTATTATATTTTTAACGAATATACATTTGAAAAGATTTTTATGATAAATTGATAAAAAAATGATAATATAACTGCATAAATTATTGAGCGATGCGTTGACATTTATGCTGTATTCTTGTTTCAGATCAACAGGCAGCTGGTCCGGCAGCTCCGAATAAACTTAAACGTTTGTTAGAAATTTCCAAAACGTCAAATGATGAGGAACGATTGAAGATATCAAAAAGTGTAAGTTTTCCAATTTCTCTTTATTGTTTTTTTTTCACTAATGCTGTAATTACTGACGCATATTACTGTTTACATCAAAATTTTTTGTATTTTATTGTTTTGAAAATATTTCTGTGTATCGTCATGCGTGGAAATTTACTGTATAAGTTATCATTAATGTTTAAAATTTCTTTTCAATTCAGGAATTTGAATTACCTGATGAATCTGGCAGTTATACAGATTACTTGAAACAAGTTTTTTTGAATTCAACGTCCACAGATTTTTCTCACGATGAGAAGCAAGACATAGAAGCGAAAATTGAACCGGAAACGCCAACAGGAACACCTACTGCCATGGGAAGTCCAAATGGTGTTAGCACTACGATTATCAGCACCGAAGAATTGCATTTTCCAAGCAGCTCAAATTCGGAATCAGGTACATTTCCACAAATTTTTTCAATTTTTTCATATAGAATTATGTGATTCAGAATAGGAAGAACTTCTGCAAAATATTGTATTGTTCTTGTTTTTTTAGTCATTTCTAGACTTGCTATCTTAGGCTTGATTTTTCGGCTTTCATTTTATAGTCTTCATATACTTCAGAAGAAAATATTTTTCTCTCATCATTTTAGATTGACTAGTAAATGTCTGAGAATGTTATGATCTAAAGTCTTAGTTTTTTTCATATTTTCGGTGTATTTTAACATACATTATTTCAAGATTTACAAGATTTCTTGAAAATTTTTTTTATTGAAGTAGCAACCTTTACTTTTCCGGATAGCCAAAATATAATACTGGGATTTGTATGAATGAATTAAATTAGGGAATATTGGACTGCTTATTTTTTTAGAAAATTTAATAAAAATATTATAGGCTTATTGACAAGTGCGGTTACATCACAGACGTTACCGAATTCATTGGATCGAAATATCGCAATTGAAAAATTAGAAACGTATTTCAGTCGTAGTACTCCGGATCAAGTACGACAGTATATGTTGCGATTGCGGCAAGCTGCTAATCGACGTCTTGCCGAACAAGCAGTTGATTTGATCTCAACATTGAGCAGTGAGGAGTGTGCGCAATTTTTAAGCGATATTGATAGTGATGGTACTGCTGGCTTTAATTAGTTATCCTTAATATTTCTTGCGACATATTGATCCGTTTAAGATTCGTTACTTTGTACATAAGGTTTAGATTCCGGATGAAGTTCAATATGCATTTATTGCTTCAAGTATTATTTTGTTCTGATATAGCATGAGATGTCTAATAAAAGAATTTTCATGCTTTGCAGAAAAGATACCGATAATTATAACGCTTTATTTTTGTAAAACGTGATATTGAAGAACTGCTTTTCATCGAATTAATCTGTTATACATGTCAAAGTATGATTTATCTGTAACTGATCATTATTATATTCAGTCAGTGCATCCTGTGGAATTATTGTACATAGGATAAATCTTCATGTCGGTAAATTTATACTTTTCAATAAAGACCATGCTGAGATGTCAAAAAGTAATGGAAAATAATGCATTTCATGAAAATAATAATGCAACTATTCAACTGAAAACGTCAATCACTTTCTCTTTCCCTGAACTTGGATAAATTCTCTTACGAGAAATCCAACAGAAAGTTTTGAAAAGTTTCATTTTAAATAAAACGAAACCACTAATTAATAGGATTCAAATCGTTAAAATTTCAATAATTAGCGGCAAAGTGCTTAGGTTTCCCTTGGATGTGTGGGGTTTTGATATTTTATCTTCATTCTCAGGCGAAATGTGATCAGATTATCATCTGTGCGGTGCAGATCCTATTTATTTTTCAATTTTTGTTTCTGTACCACACCATTTCTCTTTTCAATAAATGCCCTATCGGTTGAAATATATGCCAAATTGTTATGTGATGTTGATTTTCACTGAAGTTTTTTTTTTCTATTAATTGAGCATTCCAAAAGCGAATTATGATAATTTAATCTTTGATGAAATCTTGAGGGCACGTCAATTTAACGAAATTTTATAAATTTCCAGAATTGAAAATCATAAACATAAAATAAATTGAAAACTGGTACTCAGCGATTTAAATGTCAGTCATTTTTTATGATTATGTCGTCGAAAGCAGTGCATCTTTTTTGTGTCACATTATTTTTTCCTTACATTTTTTCTCTTTTTTTGTTCCATCAAATTGATAGATAATTTTTTTCTCATCGGTTTATTCACTTCTTTATTTATTTAATTTTCACTCATTCATTCATTTTCATTTTATGCTGAAAAATACATTGCGATATTTTTGACTTTAATGCTTTAATCTTTTATTAAAGGTAAAGTTGTTGTTGTTATGTTTGAACTAAGCCAGTTTGTCAATCTTTCGTCCTTAAGATTCAGCTTTTTTAATTTCAGATTAAAATTAGGTTAAAATATGTATAGATTAAAATATTTAGGTTAAAATATGTTTAAAGATAAATTTTTTAACTTTACTTCATTTCTATTATCAATGTTTTTCCCCTCTTTTTGTGACTAATTATGAAAATGTTAGAAACTGTTTTGACTTATAGCTAAATATATATTGCACAATGTATAATTTTCTTCTCTTTTCTGAAATGAAAAATAAAACCAAGCAAATCTCATTATTTACTTGTGAACATTTTTACAAAATAGACGAACAGAATGTTAATTTGCTATTTCTTAATTAATGATTTTTTTTTCAGAGATAGTGTTTCTCAATTAATGATCTTTTTTTATTCAACATCTTATTCAATGTCTCTTCCCTTTATTCCAAACGTAAAAAACGACATATTGCTTTTTTTCCAGTAATATAATAATTTATAACTAATAATGGAAATCAATCTAAAATCAAAATGTAATAATTTGTAACTGATATTAGGGATTAACTTGATGATGGAGATGAAAAACAAAATTATTTTACTTGTAAAAAATGATTTAAAAATAGAATTATACATATTTCTCCACCTTCCTTCTTTTATTGCTTTTTTTCTCAACTCTTTTTCCCGTTTTATTCCATTTGCAGCTCATTTTGCTTCTTGAAATCAATTTTTTCCATTGATTTTTGGCAAATAATGAACTCTTGAATTTTTGTAATTTTCAACCTGAAATGCAAAATTTTCCTTTTAAACTTTTAATATGCTGAGAAGAAGGATAGGCAATAGCAGCAATATTGCTTCTTTCTTCTCCTTCTTCATTTTTAATTGCTGTCGCTACTTTACTGCCTTATTTATATTCCTTTCAGGATGGTCTTAACAAATGAGAAACCGAAACTTTTGTTCCCATTTATAAATTTTAAATTTGCTTTTCTACAATGCCATTCTACTTATTTACGCTTTTTCACCCGAATCAGTTCGATTATTTTCATAAAAATCTCACTGCTTATAAAATTTATTATTTTTTTTTTGAGTTAAGAAAATTTCAAAATTTTTTCTAATCATAAGCAATAAAAAGTCGAAAATAATGTAAAATATTATTCGTTATTATAATGCTCTCGTTATTATTTGATTAATCAATTATGATTAAATGGTTAAAGTAATATCATCAAAAGAAGGGGCAAGTATGCTGATTAAGCAAGTAAGCAATGCTTAGCAGTATGCAGTGTTTAAAAACTTGACCTTTAATTAATTCATTAATATAATTTTCGGCGACGTGTATTTCTATGTAAATAACGAGGTATTATGGTTGTTTAAAACTTTAAACATATAATGCATGCTAATTTGCAACGCCATTATGCATGCCATTTAACACAGCAAGTATATTATGCATGCAATTTAACATCGCAAGCATGTTTTGCAATGCATAAGCAATAAAAAAATTTATCCCTCCTTTGAAATTTTTTCATATTATTCGATACGCTTATTTATTACTAATCGAATTATCATCAAGAAGTTAAGAAAGACAAATAATGTTAAAGCTATAAATCGTTAGCTGTACAAATTGAGTCAAGTATCATAATCTTGTGATTTCAAATTTCAATTATAATCTGATCATTTATTGTAATAATGATTTCAGTTATTCAAACATCAACTTTTCATTTAACGATTGGGACTATTTCTGTTCATTTATTGAAAGTTTAATAACTCAAATCTAAAAAATCTTAGGTTGCACAATTAATATTTTTTTTGCAAAGTAAGAAAAAAAAAACCAATCATTTGAAAATGAAAAAATATGCTAATTTGCAAATATGCTTAGTTTGCAGGCTTAGAATTCAACCGTTACAACTCCAAAAGATTTCATCTGAAATCGATTTAATAATTATTATTAATAGGCTTTAATTATCGTTATATTCAAAGGAAGAAAGATACTTTTACGCTAACATTGTCGTCGGAAGCAAAAATAACAATAGAAAGGTTTGCTCCAGAATTTAAATAGTGAATAATAAAACAAATGAAACAGTTTTCAAAAATTTCGTCACATTATGTATTTTATTTATGTTAATAAAATTTGAAATATTCGATAAATTTCAATCTAGAATTCTAAATGAAATCATATCGATATATTGAAATTTGAGAAATGCTGTACTTCATATCAATTAAATTGAACGGCGGAAATTATCATTGTCTGATAATCCTTGCAAAACTTTCTTTGGCTGTTTATCCGATCATTTTAATTTTTCAATTACATTTTATTCCATTTATTTCATTTTTCATAAATTTGTAAAAATTTCTTCTATATATATTAACGATATTTAAAGAATGCCAAAAATAGGCTACAATCTTTATCATTTAACAAATGAGATAATTAAAGAAATTCGTTCAAGGAAAAATATATAATTAACAAATGGATGCATTCAGCTTGCTTTTAATGGATGTCTTATTTTTAATGCATTCATTTAAAAATAACGCATATTTATACTTAATGAAAACTGAAATATTAATAATACTATTCAGTTATATTTAATTATATGTGCCTAATACTATTTTGTACTTCATTTGTTGGAACGTTTGTTTTTGATGTAAAACATTATTATGACAATTTTGAAGAATCAACCTCAGGTTCACTTTTTTTTTAATTTAGTCATATTTTCAGCAATACCTGATATTATATTTTTGATTATCTAGAGTATGTCTGACTCCAA